TGCAGCGGCCTGGAACATGATGTTAACCACGTGCACAAAATATGCATGGATAGACTGGAGCAGAAATAACCTGATGTTGCACATGCCACTGTGCACTACTGTGGATATCTGCAGAGGCATGCTATGTGTAAGCAGGGATGGGACCACACGTTCAAGCACTACTCTGTCCTGTATGCATTAGGCCTACATGTTGAGGGTACATATGAATATATCTCACATATAAAAGAAATTCCATCAACATTGTTGATGGATGACAGTATCAGTCTTTCCAAGGGCAAATCCTACAGTATAACAGAGTTCCAAAGGGCCATCTTCTTCAAGGACTTAAAGATCCCATTCTTATTTCAGTGTTCTTTTGAGACTTGTCAAGAAGGTATTTTTCATATCTTCTATACACCAGGCCATTCCTAGTCTACTAAAAACCATGCAGTTTATGTTAAACATTTATTTATGAGACAGTAGCAGCTTCTGGAGAAAGGAGGTTAATTTTCATTGGGTAAGCTATATGGAGGGAAAGTTTGATCCGATTTCCCACCTCCCTGTAGTGAAGTACCAATGCAGATTGAAAGCTTCTGAAGTTGCTTTTGCAAACAAAGACATTTTATAAGCATGTGATTCAAAAATGTGTCTACTTTCACCCTTAAAACCCTTATATAGAGTTGGAGTTGTAATCATTATCATACCCTCTAAATGAAAATAGCTAAAGAGTGGCAGCGTGAATCCAGCCTAAATAGGTCACTGAGAAGAAGTGGAAGGGAAAAATCCCAAGTCTCCAGAAGCAACAAAGTATTTATAGGGAACTTCATAAAAGGATAGCAATGTCCCCAAAACAGCCAATGGAGGACTGATTGGGCAGCATATAAATCAATGACTACATATAATGGAATAGAATGGAACATTCTCCAAGAGGACAAAGCTCTTTGGCTGGAACTCTGAGCAAGAGAACGCCATGATGCAACTCTGTATTGTGTATAAATTAATGGAAATTTATTTTGCCACCAGAATCTGGAAATAAACATGTGCAATAGCAATTATGTAATTCACTCATATTAGTAAGCTAGTATAATTGGAATTAAAGTAGGCAGCACAAAATTAAGTTCATACTCCCCTGACTCCTTGAAATATGCAAGTTTGGTTGATAAGTGAGACTAAATTAAACTGTCTTTGACTGTGTTCTGCAGCTCAAAGATTCAATTTAAATCATGTCTCTCCATTGTAAATATGCATTGTCCTAGCTTTACACTCAAGAGTACTAAATGTCTACCCAGCAAGGCTTTCCCTATAATGCTGCTATAGAACAATCAACTTTTCTAAGTTACAGTAATGATAAAGAAAGAAGAAGGGAGAAGGGAGATGGCTTTCCCAGGAACATTTCCTGCTTACAAACTTATATTCTACATTGATAGAATATTGTGCAGAACCTTTGCTACCTTTCTGAAATCCATTGTCCATGTATGTGAGAATAATTCTCAAATTCAGTGGAGCTTACTTCTGATTGTACCAGAATACAATTAAGTTGGAAAAAGAATAATGCACTTACCTTCCTATTGTTTTATCTCATATGGTAATCTTTCAAAATTTTAAAGGAAATTAGGGGAGAATAGCAGCTGAACCCTTCTATATTATTAAAAGTGTTTTGTAGCACATTAGAGACTGACAAACTTATTATGGAAAATGTCATGTGGGTTGTAAATTTCTGAAACAACAAATCATATTTCCGTTTGAAAGCATCCACACATCATAAAGAGTCATTTGACTGGTGAGTCTGTGTGCTGTAGTGTGGTGTGATGGTTGGACTGGGGATTCAGGAAGCCTGGGCTGTAGTCTGTACCCAGCTCACTGGGTCATTTCAGGCTAGTCACAGATTCAACCTACCCAACAGAGTTAACATGGTGCTATTTAAGCTCCCTTGAGTTCCTCACAAACGGAAAAATGATGGGATATAAAAGCAAAGATACAAGAAATAACAACAACACAACTCTCATATGACTGCTAATATTAGTAAAGAACAATGCTGTCAACACTCAGCAAAAAATGCAGTGCGGTCCAGTGATAGTGGGCTTGGGATATTCAGTGTGGGGCCTCCATGTAGGCAAGTATGCATTTTGTATAATCCATGCTATCTGTGCTTTATGAATTGGCCGAAATCTTTCATTTTGTTATCTATTCATTGATTGTACTGAATTTTAGCCCCTCAACAGAAATGTACACAAAACTCTCGCCCACAATTTCATAAATTTTGCAGGCAAAAAATAGCTCCCCCTCTCAATACTTTAGGTCAGTGAACAACCAGAAAGTAGAACATATGTAGAAAAAGAGTGCTATCCAAGGAAGGATGAAAAGAGCATATATTTTAATGCTTTTTAGAAATTTCTGATGTAATTTGCAAACTATTCCAGAATGTTTTAAAAAATATCTGCAAATCCACTACAGAATCCATGGGTTGGATTTATGGAAAATCTAAAATCATTTGACTCACTTTTGGACTTCTCTGACATCCTGACTTGTGGGCACCATTTTGCTTATAGACACCTCACGTGCCAGGCCCTTGGTCCTCCTGAGATGTGTGTGTGCACGTGTGTGGGCATTTCCAGTTTAAAAATAAAAATAGTGACGCTACCGTGCTATGAAATTTAGGTCCAGTCTCCAACATCATCTTTGTTTCTATCATCTTTAATTTAGAAAATAAAATGGAAGACTACTCCAACCCAGCCCTTTGTTTTAGAGAATGCCCAGCCTCTGGGGTGCGAAGGAGCTGGGATTTTTTGGTCATAGAACGCACCGGAACAGCATTCCGGCACCTTTTTTTGATGAATTTTTCCAAGTGATGGTGAATCACCCTGTTGGGCATAGCGGGTCGGTGGCAAAAATCATTAACATAGTGCCTGCGGGCTGCTTGTGTGTCAGCGCTGATTGTGAGGGAGCTGCTTGGCTTGGGACCGGTCATGTGGTTGCGCGCTGAGTGCTTACTGCCGGCGGCGACCATTGTGTAAAAGTGTGACCCCAAGATGTAAGTTCCGGCACCTTTTTTTTTTTTTACAAAAAAAGCACTGGGAAGGCGTGTCCAGGTGGCCAGAGGGTATGGTGGGGCATTGGGGTGGTCTTTTGCCTGTGCTTTGTATGGCTCTCTTGGTGCTTTGCCTGGGATGTTGTTTGTGTAGTTGTTTCTGTGGTCTAGAAGTTAGATGAATTTCATGAATTTTGTGTGGTGAGGGTTGGGTTTTAGACGTCAGTCTGAGAACAGCCTAAAATCAGTGGATGAATACCTGTGCTCAGCACCAGCTATTTTGACCATTTCAAAATTCCATTTTCAGCTGGAACTGCACACACACACACACACCTCCTGCAAAACAGTGTTTTAACATAAATAACAAGAATAGGAACACCAAAAATGGTGGAAAACTAGCTTTGTTATCTCTAATCTAGCAGTTTGAGTCCCAAATTGCTGCATAAACAGCAGAGAAAAAAACATGACAGCAAGCAAATTAAACCCAAAACAAAACATGGCAAATAATGTATAAATCTGTTAAATCAAATGAATAAATAATCACTAGTCTAGTCCAACATCTTTAATTTGATTTCTGCCTGCCTTTTTTCCATGTACAATTCTAAGTCCAACATACTTGATTAGCCTTCAACATAAGTTTTAAGATTCTTTACCAGTTCTTACATTTCCCTGCATACCCACACACTTCCATTTCCTTGGCCACAACTCTGATGGATAGGGATTTGTGAGGAACCATTGCAGATGTGTGAAATCCAACTTATTTTTCAGACTCAGCCTTCAAGATTCCATTCTGTTTCATCCATGCCAGTACTGACTCAGTCCAATGTGAGTAGAACTAGTGGATTTTGGCTTTTAAAGTGGGCCACAATTTACATTAAAAAGGCAAAGTTCACTAAATTTGCTCAAATTGCAGAATCTGAAATTTATGCAAATTTCTGGCTCCACAATTTGCATAAATTCCTTGAATTGTAAAAATATTGCTCAAAATTGTAGCCTATAAAAGGAATCTTATTTGTACAGGTAATAGTGGTGGGAGAAATTTATGTATGAGGGAAGAGACAAAAAGCCCACAACACTTTTGCACAAAAAAGGTAACTCAAAAATAATAACTGAAAATAACAATAGCTGTACTTGATTACTGTAAATCATGTAGTCCTAGTCAAAAATCATAGTCCCAAAGCTGAACTAACAAAATTGACAATGACATATTATTTGTAAAGTTTGGAATATGTGATCTAACAACAAAGTTGCAAGTGGACAAAACTGACAAGAATTTTTACCAAGGAAGTTTGCTGTGCTTGGAGATACATGAGGGCTCATGAATGCAACAAAATTAAAGACCAGTGCAAACTCATGTCCATAAATTTAAAGATTCAGACACCATTAGAACAAACAAACAAAAAATCCTAGCTGTAGAAGAACTGATGCTACAGATATGCAGATCTCAGTTTCCTATTAGCTTAACATTTCTGACCCTCTGCACCAAATATGTCTTTAATTGCTGTATCAAAAATGCTGCAGATAATTGTTGGGCTCACATGATATGGAATTCCTAGAACTGAATATCCCCGGATGTAAGCAATCACTGGAGTTCCTTCAGAACTCTTCATCCTTCTCTAACTTTGGCCCGTAGATTTAAATCTGCCAGCATTCCTGACCTACCAACATTGATCACAATTTCGAACTATCTCTTCCATGAAAAATGCTCCACACACAGAGAAATAAAATTCTTGCTAACTACAGAGAAAAAAGCAAAAACTGAATGATTGTAAGGACAAGAAAGTAATACATGAAAGAAATACTTCAAAAAAAGAAAAAGGCATAGTATACAGTTAACCCAAAAGTTCAAACTATGCAATTAAGGTGTAAGGCTAGGAAATAAAAGACACAGAACATATTTAACACAAGCAGTTTGTAATCATCATCAACACCATCAGCACCACCCTACAGTAAACATTACTTAAACAGTTTAAAATTGGAGAATTGTATTCACCTTTCTTGTCATCGAAGTACAGAGTCTGTTGAGCTGGATTTGACCACTGGAGGGAAGTGTTATCATTTTGATCAACCCTACAGGTCAAAGTTGCTGTTTCACCCTCGATAACTGTAACATTCTGTGTGAGTGGAAACTGGCCTTGGCTGCCTGCAGAGGGTGTAGATAAAAAGGAAAAAAAATCACATTAAAAGTTACAGGCTTATATTAACAACTTCAGCTTCCAAGAGATTTGTGCAGTGAGTATCTTGCTTTACACTATTTCCAGTAGGGGGAAGTGCAATAAAATTAGCATCAACGTTGCAAAAATACAAGTATATAAAAGACCTTTGTTGTTAATCAGCCTACTGCAATGCTGATTCATCCTTGTCATAAATAATTTAGAGGAATTAATTAGGATACTTCATTTCTCATACACTTTTGTCCCTTAAGTGGTGAAGTCAGTTGAAGTAGCTTTACGATGGAGAAGAATCGGACCATTGGTGCAATTATGGAATACGCAATGTGTCTCTTCAGAAAAAATGCTTCTGCCTTTACCTTTTTCTCCCCAGCTACACCTCAATCTTCAGGGTTCCCCAGACCCATTGCATGGCATTTTCAGTGTGGGGCGGTGGAATGGTTATGGGGTGGAAGAGGGGCCACAGACGTCCATTTCTGCCAGTCCAATTGCACATGTCTAAACCTGAATAACCATTTGGTAGTTACTAATGGAGCATATATTGATTTAATCCAGAAAGCACAAGGCGAGTACTGGAGTGTTATTTGTTTCTCAGATTGTGTTTTACTTTTCCATCCGGGAGGAATTTAAAGGTAGATCACCTTCCAAAGCAATGAATCACTTGGCACTATCAACCAAAAACATTTCATATTTCAATAAAATATTTTAATCAGTTCAATCACTTATCCAGCATCAAGACGTTTAAGCTAAGAAACATCTTTGTTATAGAAGCAAATACAATGTATTTCATTTTTTCAACATAATACACTGAGCCTTTAGCACCTTTTAAAAAGTCTGTATTTCATAACATCTGTCAGGTATGTGTATTTGTTACAGATGGATAAATATGTCAGTTTTGGTTTCACTCAATACCTCTTTTTTTCTGATCTAATGTTCATTTTTTCCAGTTTCTGCATCAGTTTGTAAATTTGACAAGTAGGCACGATTTTTTTCTAATTTATGCATACTCTGAACACACTTTTGTTCATGTGTGCACCTTTTGCATACATGTTTTCTGAATATAAAGTGTTTTATGTATAATTGTTCCTTATGAATGCATTTTTGTGTGCATGTCCCCTTAATACAGGCATTTTGCCCACATTTTCTGAGTTCTAAATTGTACCAAAATAATGAAAAGTGCCAAAATTTGCTGCTTAAGTATATTCTGGTTTTCATATACATCCAGAAAGTTTGAATTGTACACTTTTGCATACAAATTTGGACCCTACCAATTTATCATCCCTCCTTGGTATCTGTAGAATGTAACTATGGAAGCGGTCATACTCTGAATGAGATATTAGTATGAGAGCAGCTGGTGGTAAATAGCATTCAAAATAGAAATCTAAATGACCAGATGCAATTATCAATGATTTCTGGAAGTTAAAGGACTGCATTGTAACCCTTCTGTTGTTGTTCACATGGCATTTGTTTTGAGGTACTTTTAGAACTGATGCAAATGGCAGTGAAACAGCACAATGGTCACCAATTTTGTGTTTGGATATATTAGACAGATGAAAATCAGATGCCTGGTAGGTGATTATGCACAGCTAGTAATTTTTTTCTTCTTCAAATGACACAGGGATTAAACAAAATGCACTCATCTGGAATTACAGATGAACAAGGCAAAAATGCATTTATTAAAGGAAAGTTTGCACAAAGTATGTGTGAGTGTGTGCATGTATATATAATGGTGTACTACAGAATATTAGTGTTTGAAACTAGATGTACCATGGATAGCTATGTCCCCTGGTATATTTGGTTTGTTGATATTATTATTATTACACTCCTATCCCACCCTTTTTTCCTTTTGTAAGAAACCCAAGGAAGCCTAAATAATCCTCCACATATCAGTTGCAGATATTAATATAAACAACAACAACAACAACAGAATTATTGGAGGTCATGTCTTGGCTTTGTTTCCCTACTGGTGTAAAACTTGGTTATTCACTGTGTTGAATGTGGATCTTGCTGGGTCAAAAAGAACTATAATTTTGTGTCTTTCACAAATGTATGTCCCTCATATCAGTTCCTTTCTATCTTGCAGTCTTGTATAGATACTTCTCATTAGCTGAAAATGATTGCAATTTTATTTTGACATATGCCCTTCCAGCATTTAGGAAAACTTCATACCTACCACTTATTACCAATTATTTTGAAAAGTCAGAAGAACTTTAATTTATTCCACCTTCTACATCTTTGCAGAACACTGAATTAGTCATCTGTACTGAGAAACAAAAGTATTCAGTCCTATAATTAGACTAAACCACAGTGCGCATATACATTGCAGAATGACAAAGTGTGGAAATATAGGATCTTGTGGAACTATAAGGTTCATTGAAAAGATGATCTTTAAAATCAGGAATTTCCAAATTTTGACTGAAGCCATGTAAATAGTCACAAGGGAGGAAACCCCACTGAACATAATACAACTTATTTCTGAGTAGAAACATAGGATTATACTATAAAGTTCTGAATAAAGTACTAATGAAGTGTTATAAAATAGTATCATGCAATTATAGCAACTTAAAATTCCTTCTTCTTCCTTTATAGACTTTTTTATTTTGCTTGTGAAATTACAACAAAAGGGAGTAATGCATGCACAAGCGTACACAGAGATAAATATCCATAACTATATGAGATATTCATATATTCATTTATTTATTTGAGAAAATACAACCTTCTAGCAATTAAGCTTCAACCAAACTGACCAAACATACAAATACTTGGCAAAGGTGGTGACTATATATAACCCATGCAAATAATGAAATCATGGTGAAGTCCTGCTTCATTGATGTATGCCTCAATTTATTGAATAAGCCACACAAAGGTTGTTGATGATCATGATCTGAGTTATCTTGGCAGTAACTAAACTTAGTGAACTGTAGGAAATCATTACAATCCATTTTATAGTCTATGAAAAAAACTAAACAAGTTAAATGTGATCCTAAAGAGATGACATTAAAATACAGCTTAATATACACAGATAAAGTTAATTGTTCATTCACAAATCAATATCTCATGTTGGATTGCCACTTAAGACCAGATCAACAAAAGGCTAGCACTGAATGACTTCCTTTTAACAAGAAGAATACTTCAAGGACTGCAATCAAAGTCAAGATAAAAAGTAGCTACATTTATAGAGATTCAGAAGATTTCAAATTGTAAGATAAGCTCCAAATTAAGAGGTCCTTTAGAGAAAATAACCTGGAAAATGATGGTACAGTGGTTGTACTCATTTAGAAATGAACTGGAAAACACTATACTTAGTTTAATAAAAGGATATATTTTTCTGCAGACATGTTAATCATAGGTTATAGCATAGATAATCAGCTAACTGATTTTAACAGAAGTTAATGCATGTAGGATCAGTATGCAAGGAGGAGGAAGGTAATCTCACTTTCAGAATTGATGATAGCTTCTAATCTATAACATGCCACAACATTTCTCCATCATCCTCAAAACTAGTGGTCATTAGCCAGAGTGGGACCCTAAGGTTTGCATGGGAGGTGATTAAGGGAATTCTACATTTTTGCCCTCATGCTGCAATTTGCATAGCATAGAAAGCTCCCATTAAAGTGAGTGTGGTCTTTTTTCGTATGAAAATTTCAGACACATGCATCCTTGATCTGGGACTTCATTAGGATAGCAAAGCCTTAAAGCTCCTCTATCCTTTATGCTAGGATCCTTATCCATATTGGGACTCAGTGCTTCATTTTGAATAAACGCAAATGATAGACATAGCTACAAGGACTGGCCAAAGATAACAGGCAGCCAAAACTAATGACTATATAACTGCAGGGACACAGGTGAAGGGCCACTGGACAGAGCCAAGTTTCAGAGCAAAGGTATTGCTGAATACACCCTGCAAGACCATAGACAATGGGCATTTTACCCATTATAAAATAGTCCAGGTTTTCCCTATTTCAAAGTAAGAGTTCAATCTCCATCCCACAAATAACAAATGGATATAATTTTCCTTTTTGGGAGATCTTTAAAATTGAATTGAAGGATATGTTGGTCTTGTTTGGTGAAAAGGTGGGCTCATTAGTAAGAATAGGTGGAACCACTGGGTTTTGTTCTACAAAGTTTTAGTAGAAATCAGAATAAAGTAATTCTACTTGGTTAAAATTCTGGTTGGGTTGTCATTGCTAAGACCATAAAAGCCAATCAGCCAAGGAAAATGAACACACACACACACACACACACACACACACTCACACTCATATCCATATCCATATATATATATATGGATATGGATATGGATATGGATATGGATATGGATATGAGAGAGAAAAGAAAAAAGAAAAAGAAAAGATAGAACAGTGAGAGCAACTGCCAGAAAAGCAAAGAGGAAGGATACTGTTATTTTTAGATTTTATTTCTATGTATCTTGAGTGACTACGCAAATTTTGTGCTGGGCTGTACTTCCACAGCCAAGAACTGGACTACACCCTTAGATCTACCAGACCATGGTGGTCCCTCACTCTACCATCATATCATATGTGGCTTTCATACAAATTCCAGATGCATTCTTTCTTTTATTTTGGCTCTAACTCTAATATGGATTTCAAAATTTTGTATAGAAGGTATCATCACAGACCACCAGTGTGTATAAACAAAACAATTATTACAGCTTTTTTTTTTTCTCGAAATAAGAAACCCAGGCTTGCCAAATCTGTGGAATACTATTAAACAAAGGTCAGGCATATGCTCATGCAATCATTTTGTAGAACTTATCATGTTATAGCAGGGCTTTTCATTTGCTCTTATTAATTTTAGCAGAAATGTTTACCAGCACAGAGAAGGTGCAACCTGAGACTGGCTGCATATACTGGCTTTATTTGCAGCAAAATCAACTCCTATGTTATATGCTATACATGTGTATTTTACACTGTTACTGTATCTTCATGGAAAGAGGGGAGTCACCTATGAAGATGATCAATATATCTGTTTGCATTACTAGCAATCTA